GCGGGGGACCAATCGGAGTCCTCTGGGATGCTGCTACGGTGGCTCTCGTCTATGGGGAAGGAAGCAGGAGGCTCCTGGCCAGGCCCAGCGCTCTCCACCCCCCTCAGCTGGCAAGTCCCATGGAGCTCTGTGCCTGAGGCTGCCGGGCATGGCCCTCTCTGGCTGCAGCGGGGAGACTTGCCCCAGGAAGCCAGGGGCACCTGCCTGGGCACAAGGGCATATAGCCCCAGGGGAAGAGAGGCAGCCAGATGCTTCTGCTCGTCCCAGTGCCGCTGCCTTCCCCACAGGGCAGCTGGGGGGCAGCACAGACCCCTGGGGTCCCAGTGCCTGCAGGCAGCCCTCGTGCTCGCTGCCCTCTGCCCGCCATCCCTATCCCAGGGCAGCCACCTCCCCGCTCACCTTGCTTCTCCTGGCACGCCCAGAACTCCGGGTGAAGCCGCAGCAGCGCCTGAGCCAAGCCCACGAAGGGGGCAGCGAAGAGGAGGAGGAGGAAGAGCCGGAGGCACAGGGAACGTCTCCTTCCCAGAGCCAGCCCAGTGTGGGGAGGGGCAGCGAGGAGACCTCAAGCTCTGGTATCGGCACCAGCACCCAGCAGGGCTTCCATCCCCCCCTGGCGAACTCCCTGCCACTCCTGGTGGAGCTCAGCCACCTCCGCGCAGAGACGGGCAGGTAGGAGCGCCCAGCTGCTCGGCCGGGTGGAAGGGAGCCAGCTGGGCCCAAGTGGTCAGCCTGGTACCCCCCAGGTACCAAGAGGGCCCCCCCCCCAGCCGCTCTCCCGGCTGGATCCGCACACCAGGTGAGGCCACGTCCCCAGGCCCACGGCGTTTGGATATTAGGATCCACGCTCTCAGCCGTGGCTCTGTAGGATGGCTGCCCAAGCTGGGGGGCAGGAGTGTGGGGATACAGCAAGGGCCCTCCCCCAGCGTGGCCCTCCATTCCCAGCCCCTCTGCCTTGTCCCCCCTGTGCGTGGCAGGCTGCTGGCGGTGCTGCTGGAGAAGGAACAGGAGTGGCAGAGGCAGCTGCACAGGGCGCTCCGAGCCATGGAACGGGATGCCAGGGTTCTGCGAGGATCCAAGCCCCTAGGTGAGTGGGGCTGGGGCTGGGGCTGGCCGGGAAGGGCAGGGCTAGAGGGAGATGGGCGTCTCTCCTTGGGTGCAGAGGGATCTCCCTCCCAGCTGACCACACCTCTGTGTCGGGGAGGGGCTGGGTTTGTCTCCCTTGGGCCACGTGGGCGGAGCCCTGAGAGGCGGGGGCGGGGGGCACAGCAGGTCCTGGAGCAGAAAGTGCCCAGAGCGGAGCTGGCTGTGAACCCTTCTGTCTGCACAGCCTTGGCCCCCCACCCCCAAGGGCAGCAGCAGGGGGC